GTTGCCGGCCGCAGCCAAACTATAACAGCTATGTACTACCCCAGATAGGAAACTAGAATCTGTAGGTCTCTACTGTGTTATTCTGAAGACATATTATGTAGTATTTCCCAGTTTAAAAAGTCAGCATCTCTGGGTTTTTGAAGTGTTGCTATATTAAAAAATTCAGTAGAAAATTTAGATTTACGCCTTCTTTTTCTTCCACTGAAATTTTAAAACGGAGCGTCCCTCTCTTGTCTCCCCTCATCTTCACTTAAACCATGACACATTTTTTTTTCTCATCCTCTTCCCTCAGTAACCTAGTGTTTGAACAGATCAATACACTGTGCTGTGATATAACCTTAAGATGCTGAAGATGTTTAATTCCATTTCCACCCTACAGACAAGCACAAGCCCTATTATTTGTCCCATCCTGTTCATAATCACCAGTTCCAGACTCTTTTCTCCTGACTGACATGATACCATAAAGGCTGAGTTGAAGATACAGTGGCAGCTCACCTTCTGGCTGCAGCTGAACCTCTGAAAAGACTCTTCAGACATATTTGAGAGGTAAATTCCTTCTCCTTCTGTTTACGGCTCTGTCTCTACCTTCTGGCATCTGGTTTCTTTCCCATAGATAACCTGTTCAGATATAACTAATGATGCTGAGCGACTGATTTCTGAAGGTGCCCAACAGGTTTTTCTCACTGGGCACAAATATTCAGAAAATGTTTCCCACCCACTCCAGACAAAAGCAAGCACAGAAAAAACAGCAGCCAGTTGCCAACTATAACAACTCTTCTTACTTGGTATTCTCTAGTGTAATGTCTTTAATGCCCTATGACTGGGCTGTGCAAATTGTTGTCTGTGCAGATAACAGAGCCCACGACAGCCAACACTGCAGCTCAGAGGTACTATGCTCTGTACCAAGGGGCTATCAAGGAAAAATCTGCACTTCTTACAAGGCAATGGTTTGCCACAGTCATAAGCAAAGGTTGTCCTATCAACAGGACTGCTGAGCTATATACTTCGCAGACTGCACACCCCTGTAAAAGTCAAAGACGTGTTTGAAATCTGCTCCATTTTCTGCTAGGAGTCACTTTTAGGAACTGGACAACTTCTCATTACAGTTTTCGGATGGCTGCAGTCTGGACTTCCCACCCCACATCATTTAGGCTCATCATAATTGAGTTTAACATTTCTCATTTATTCTAGACTGAGACATTTATTCAGACTGAGGTTTTTGTTATTAACTTTTTCCACTTTCATAGATGTGGCAAGATTTGTCTGTGCTAAGAATACCAGTGACTTCCATCTCAAAATTCTGATGGTAAACACCAGCTGAAGTTGAAAGCCTGGAGGATGTGGGAGAACAAAAAGGATGCAAGTGCAAAACTAGCCTTACAATGCAAGCAGTGTTTAAGTACCTATACTTGAAGTCACCAGATTTATGAAAGGTACTTTTCTATAAAACAAAAATACTGGTTCTAGCAACCTGAAGTACTAAAACCAAGTCATTCACAGTCTAAGAACCTTCTTTTACTTTCAAGGTAATATTTTCACTAAAATTATTTATTGGTGAACCTTCTTTTACTTTCAAGGTAATATTTTCACTAAAATATGTTGGTGCCTTTAAAAAGAAAAAAACTACAAATTTTAACCATATTACACTCAGGAAGTGTGATTTGAAGTAGGTTTAACCTGAAATCCTCATATTTTCAAGAGAACTTAAAAGCCATGCGGATCTTGGAGCATCAAACTAGAGCAGGTAACAGTAACACAAAACTCCATACTTAAATAAAAAGCAACGTGGATAACTGCAGAGCAAATACCTTTGTGCATCAGCTCTAAGATGTAACTGTAAAGAAAAAAGTCAGGTTGCTGCATGCACATATGTGTATGTGTGTACATTTACACACAGATAGCTGCCCGGCTACAATAGCTAACTCTCAGCGCTGGATTCCACTGACATTAATTTTTGCTAGGCCGAGTGTTACTTTAAATCCTTCTGCACCTATACAAAGCTGATCAGACTTACTACAGAGCCACAGAAACACGATAAATACGTGGAGGTTGCTGCAGGCTCACAGGCAAGGACTGCCTCTTTTCAGTGTGAATCTGTGTTTAAGAAGGCATTTCTCTGGGGAAGCAGGTCTTGTGCCTACCTTTCGCAAAGGCTTCAGTTTTGTCTCCATGATGAACTCGTACTTGCACAGTTCACAGCATCGCGTATCTGAGCTCTTAATCCATTGCTGCAGGCAGGTTTGGTGCACAAAATGAAGACTTCCTGTGCAGTGACAGGGGGTTATCAAAGGGCTCTCATCATCTCCTTCACAGTGACATATCCTGAATCAGAAGCAAAGCTGCTCATTAGAAGAAGAGGAAGCAGAAAGAATGTGGAAGAGGCATGTAATGTCTGTGATCACACACGGTTGTCCACTGAGGATCCCAAGACATACATATCAAAGGAATATGTTCCATAAAGGAGCTAAAACTAAAGAATTCCCTTGCTGCACAAGCACATACATAGGCACAAAATAACTGAGCACAGACACTGCTAACTAGACAGCTGCTTTCTAATAGATGACGTGGACACACAGAGCCTGACAGAAATGCAGTAACCAAAAGAAAAATCAGGGTAAGAAATGACGACGCTTCATCTAGAACAACAGCACTTAACTGAAAATAGTATTTAAACAAATCAGGCAGCACTTCTCAAGACAAAATGTGCACAGAGAGGTATAGCTACTCACGACTTACAATCTGAAACAGAAGATAAAACAAAATTCCCAAACCAATGGTGAAACAGTCTATCCCAGTATCCTGAAATGTTAACTTAGACAGTCTGGATCTTGCACAAAAGAAGTGGTTATTTCTAGTGCCAGCTGTTAAGAGACAGATCCACACTGCGAAGCTACAGCACTGAATCTCCCCAAAATACACCTACTGTAAACAGACTAATGGTTTTGCTCTCCAATTCTTACTTTGCAAGAGCTGCTAAGGAAGCACCAGCTCTGCAAAATTCCCCATTTCCTTCACTGCCTAACTGTGCAGACAGCAAGGACACATGATATAGTGTTACTACCAGGTGCTGGCATTTGATTTCCAGCTTCAATTTATACACCACCATTGGGCTACATCAAATATCACTAAATCCTTCCAACTGTGTAGAAGAAGTCATGAATTGAAAGGGGGATGTAAGAAGCTCAGGGAATGAATATAAGTTACTAAGCATATGTGAAGTACATCCTGGCATGCTGTCATCCCTGTCTATTACCGAAATCTCTTACTGATGTGTAGCATCTTGCCTCTTGTGACCTTGCTGACAGCTGGCAAGTGGAAATGAAGGAGTGGGTGGATTGCAACAGTGTCTCCTTGATGACAAGCCAGTACGGAACTAGATTTTGCTGGTAACAAGGGGGGAAATCAAATAATATTGGCAAGTAGTAACAAAGCCAGCTTCAGAAAGTGCTGTCAGGGAGGAGAAAGATTAGGATAGTAAAGTGCTAGGCAGAGGGATAGGACATTTGCTCCCGTACTTGGTGATTCCTGCTCCTTGGCCACATTTTGGAGCTAGGATGGGGCAGATTTGCAGACAAGTGACCATGAAGACACTGGCTGTTCCCACCACCTGTGCACACGATTAAGTTGGAACAAGGACATCCATCCTTTTTGGACCTCACACTATGGACATCATACAGGTCCACCACTAACACCCAGCGCTCAGATCCCCCTTTCAAAAGCCTTTTACAAATAAAAAAATGTGGTGGGATACAAACTATGAGGAAAACATAAAAAAAAAAAACAAAACACCCTTAAGCTACCTTAGGCTGTATTGACCTGATCTCAGCAGCAATTTTCAAACAGTCTGCCTTCCTCCTGACTCCTCACTCTCTGACCAAACCAGCAGTGACTGTCAGGACAACACATTGCTCATTAAAAGCTAAGATATGTTCAGCTTGGCCTTTAATATGCTTAGCCAATTCTTTCATGCTATTCCCAGTTTGGTCACTGATAAGAGAAACATACCATCTCAGAACCCCAAACCTGAAACAAATTGAAAGAAAATTTATTTGACTCCAAAGGAAATTCTTTTGCTTAGTAGCCTTGTTAAGTGCATCAGAGGGGTGCAGGAGAGCAGAGAGAAGGCTGCATGATTCAAATCTCATATACTAAAGCAAGGTGACAGGGTGAAAGAAAAGACAGAAACAGCGTAAAGGTAGGGAAAAGCAGAATGGTCACCGATGCATATGGGAGGGCTGGAAGGTAGGCGGTTCTCTGGTAAACCAACCTGCAGGTATCCCCCGATGTGGACACAGGGGAGAGAGAGGGGAATTTTTCTGAGAGGGGCGAAGGGCAGTCAAGGTCACTGTCCTTCTCAACTGAACAGAGTGGTGCCCGCTGCTCTTTTGTTTTCAGTTTCACTGAGGTGCTGTCCTCAAAGACGTCATCATCTCCCATATCATCAGAGCAGAAGTCTGTGCTTTCCACCAGCATGCTGGAGGATTTCTCAGCTTGGAAGTGACTGGAATAACTCTCAAGTTCATGGAACTTATGCAGGCTGTTGGTGCTGGAGGTGTGGGAGAAGGAAAAAAGGTAACGCAACAGTTTTTTGCTCCTTGAGGTATCATAGTCCACTTTGTCCTCCAGCAAGGGGATATGCACAGCGCTGTGGTTCTCTGCTCCTCCCGATGCACACGAGTAGTTGGAAAGGGAAGGGATGTGGGAGTGCTTAGAACTGCTAAAAGAAAGAGGCCTGAGATTTAGTAGTTTCCTCTCTTTAAGATGAAATTTGTTAATCCTTAAACACTGCTCTTGAGTCGGGATCAATTTGCCTTCTGAGTGTGTTCGCTCCACATATTCAAAGCACTCTGTGGTGCTCTGTGCCTTCTGGTCCATGTCATTGAGGGACTTGGAGAATTTCAGAGTGCGGGTGGGCTTTACATTCTTAGTAGACCTGAGTGCCTGGCCCCGATCCTGCCCACAGGAGTTTCTCTTTGCTGCACGTAATGTGTCCTGACAGATTAGTGTCACAGTGACCCCTTGTGTCAGAGGGCTCTGGCAGTGAGGATTTTTCAAGACAACAGCAGACTGTACCGGACTGTGATGACAACACTCAGAAAACACTGCACTGGAACTGCATGCAGAACAGTGGGATAAAAGCACAGAAAGTGAAAAACAATTACATAAGAGAATACGTATAATCAAAAGTGAGGAAATGAGAATTATGGCTAGTGTGGGAATGGCAAACATAGCGGGGTCAAATAGTCAGTGGGATTCAACAAAGCAGTGTTAAGATAGCAGCCGAGCCAAACAAATGGGATGCTTTAAATGAGAACCCCACATCGCTTATTTCCCCATACAAGTGATTTTTCAGTTTTGGTTTTGCTTAATTTGAACCTCACATGGGCCTCACTCACTGTAGCCATTCAAACAACACACTTTACCTGCAGATGTCCTGGCTGGATGGTGTAACGGAAGTCCGAGAGAAGCTATGAGGGGCAGACACAGAGGTTGGACTTCCAGCCTGCAATGAAATTAAAACAAACTAACAAACAAACAAAAAGCAAGTCACAAGTTGGAAGAGTTTATGCACAGCAATCTCCTTCAGGGTTAAACACAGCATACGGAGTCAGATATCACTCTATATCAGATATTCAAGGGCTAGTTGCAATAAAGTGGCATTAGCGTCAAATGATAAAAAGGGAGGTCACACAGCCTCATCCTCAGAAAAGTAGTAATCAGAACAGAAACATTTGCCCCCAAGGTCAAATGCAGTCATCTCTGGAGTGGAACCTGCCAGCTGTCAAACACTGCACACAACAATAGCTCAGGAAATGAGCAATGCTACAGTAATTACAATAATTAAATGGATGTGCGTGTATAGACTAGCCAGAATTTAGCTACCACATAACAGCTAATCCTTCCACTTCTAATGATGACAAGAGATTAGAGGCTTGGGGTTTTGTTCCTTTTTTTTGTCCCACAAGACAGAATCATCAGTAATTCAGTAACTCAGACATTATTTGGGGACTTATTTTCTTTACTAACATATGCACACGAGCACCATCTGCCAAAACAGACCATTCCCTGAAGTACTCTATGTAACTTGCAAGGCATTTCATCCTGCTCTTACTCTGACAGGGTCTGCCCATTTCTTTTTCTATGCCTCTTGGAGAAGATGTGTGGCAGCAGTTACACTGGTAAGACCCAACAAGAGCACAGAGAGAAATAGAGTAACAGAAGAGTTCAGAATTCATCTGAACTAACTAAAAAAAAATAAAGCTAAGTTCTTGACATATTTAACACTTAATAGACAAGACTCTAAAATCAATATGGTAAGAACGATAATTGTCTCAGAGTTGGCACTCGATGTACTATTATTTTAGGCCTTTTCTGCTGCTATATTCTGTGCGTCACTAACAGAAACTTCTCGACTCTTCCTAGAAGTTTTGGCAAGGAGGAGACCTGCATTGATAACCTTGTCATAAAGAATCTTTAAACCCGGTTCTCCAATGTTCCACAGCTGCTGGATAGGCTGTACCACTCACTCACTGCTGCAAAACACTGCTCATATTTTGAAATTCAAACAAACGTTTACAGGTCTTTTGATCTGCCAAGCAAAGCCTGAAACCCAGGAAGAAACAATGCAATCAGCAGAACAACAGAAGTGTCAACACCACACTGGGCTGTACAAACACCAGCGCAGACCTGGGCCAGGCAAGTGTGCAAAGCCAGAGCAGAAGAGACCTCAGATCATGAAAGGTGTGTTACCACAGAAGCATGCTGTGCCCAACCCTATACTTCAGCTCGAGATGTCAGAGCTAGCTCAGTCATCACTGCTTTGATGATCTCTGGTCATGCTGCAACACAAACACACTGCACCTGTCTCAGGTCTCTTCAATTCTATACTTAATTTACTAAAAGCCCCTATGGTATATCTAAATAAGGCTGCTGCAGGCTTTTACACTGTCATAGCAAAAGCAAGGTTCCTTGTCAGACAATATACTTTTCTTTGTGAAAGAAGATGGGTATTACCAGGATACACATGCTAAGTTATCAATACAGATACAACCATCATCTTTCAAGTTACAGGACTTATCTGTTAAGCTTTTGTTTCTCCAGCCAACAGCACTAAAGAAAGCAATGTGTCTGACCTCACATTGGGATGTCTCAGGTGCACTGAGCCTGAAAAAGTGGGTATCCATTTACAGCTGGCTCTGCAAGAGTTCAGAGTAAGCCTCAAAGACACACCTCTTGATCTGTAGCAAGACACTGTAACTTATTTCCCAACCTACCCAGCTAGGTACACGTATAGAATAAAAAACAAGAGAATAACCTTGGGCCAGAAAGCAAAGTGAACTATGTCATGACTGTGACAAAACAAATTAAAGACTTAAAAGATCAGTTATCGGCTTAAACCTGGAAACCATGGTTCTTTACATTTTACACTAATTGCACACGCTAATAATATAGGATGCTGATCATACAGTGACGTGAATTCCAGTATTACTTTGAAATTTGCTCTCTATTTAACGCTTAACCTCTCCTAAAAGCAGATACATCTCTGACTTCAAATCCTACCTTTTAAAAAGTTTGTGCATCAACTACTTTTTTTTTTAAAGACAGACCGACAAGTTAGTGAAAGGCCTGACTCGCTAGAATCTGTTGCTATAATTATGCAAATGAAAATTAATAAGACTTAAATAATGAATTATTTAAAAAGAAATATTTAACAATCTCCTAAAAACAAAATATTGAGCTAGCAAAACAGCATATTGCATTCTCCCATGGAAACAGAGCCATATATTGTTGGAACTGAAGTCACAAATCAATTAATAATCTGTCTCAGGTTTTATGTTACAAGCAAATCACAGAAGGTAATGTGCTTAGAATGAATCTAATCTCTCTACTCCTTCACTTTAGGAACGAAGCTTTCCAAAAAAAGGCAGCAGTATATATGATGTGTCATTCTAATAGCAGATGACTAGATTCAATGATCCAAAACTGTCCCTCCAAAACCATGCTACTGATCTCTTGATCCAACTGCATGGCACCAAGATGGTACCAAAGTCTCGCCATGTGGGAAGTCAAAAGGTTGGGACTAACAAAAATTGTGGAATTTCATTTGCATTTCAAGCTTACTATTTTGTTTCTAGGTGCCAGCACTGTTCAGGACAGCTTGCAAAAACCCCACATATGAGGCACACCTCCTTTTCCTCCAATCTTCCTGCTTCAATACAAGAGGTCCTTTGCTCCATCTTTCTATATAATGCAAATACAACCAAAATATGAACAGACGTTAACACACCTGGAAAGCCATCACAAAGTGGAACAACAAAACATTGGAGGAAGTTACGCCCACCCTTGGTTTAAGCTAAGATAAGCTGTGGCTACCACCAAAAGCCTCAAGTCCCTCAGTTCATCCTCCTTTCCTCCCATGCATTTTGCTTGTGAAACTATTTACAGCTGCATTGTAAATCAGATTAGGATATCGAGGTGTGGTAAAACTAACCACTTTTACTGAGCTTGTTTAATGTCAGTCACTTCCCTAGCTCCAACTGCCAGAGGAACATCAGCCAGTTAGAGCACTGAGCCTCAGCTCACTGACAAGAAAAGAGCACAGTAAAATGCAAGCTGCTGTCAAGAACCCAAGAAGTAAGTTCCGCCAGTCCTAGAAGCAGAAGCGCATGCAGCTAATGCCAGTCCACGCAGCTTGCCTGGGTTTACTGACTCATATACAGCAGTTCTCAGGCAGAGAGGTGCCACAGAAAAGAAGAATCACTGACAGCCTTGGGCCACAACAGGGCAAAGAGGAGGCAACATGATGGGTGAATGCAACAGGGAGGTAGATCCAGCTAGCTTGGAGCTCTGACATTGCTCCCAGCAAGGCTCAGCTCTGAAAAGGCTTGGGAAAATAAGCAATCAAAGCCTTCACCGCTCTAGCTTCTGGCACACACACCATCCTTAATGCCCCAGCAGCAGACACCCAAGTAGCAGCACCTTTGGTTGAACTGGCTTCTTAAGATGGTAACAGCAGTAGTAGGTTTTAAAGCATTCCTTGTCATAGGAGGTTTCTGCCATGCTTATTATGTGATGGGTAACCTAAGCCTTGACAGCCTGAATTTGACCCTTCTAACACCAGAATCACTTTCTGAATCTCTGTGGACTTTCACATCCTTCGTATGGAGGAATATCACCTGCAATGACAAGCCTTGGAGCCACGTGCTAGTGAGTTACCCTGTACAGCCAGACTGGTTGCCTAAAATAGCTCAGGACTAAAGGTCAATAGTTACTTAATTGTATAAATTAACATTCCCATCTAATGCAATTCAGTGAGGTCACCATGTGGCCTTCCACACTAGTGTTTAGATAATCACAGCAACTCGGAAGGCAGCAACCCCTGGATGCCTACAGCTGTCTGGTCGGCTGCCATCAGGAAGACATATATATATGCGTGTGTGCGTGCACACGTGCAGATATTTAAGTATATATGTGCTGCTATAGCTGGTCATTCTCATTCTGTCCCTACTCCATGGTGGGGCCTTTCACTGTGTCATCTATTGGTGAAAGAACTCACTGTTTTCTGATTACCTACTTGTGATTTCGTGCTGCATACCAAAACCCCAAAAAACCACCCTTCCTCAGAAAACGAAGTCATCATTGAAGTGTCAATGGCTCGGGTATACTTCAAGATAATCTGCTTATCTGAGATGGCACTTCTGAGTACAGTTGCTGTTGTCTCACTCTGGGCTGCACTTCAGTACTAGCAATTCTACATCATTTTAAAGAACAGGGCCTGTCACATTCTAAAAACCTTATTAAATTATTCATTGAAGGTAAAAAGTTAGAAACAACTTAACTCTGGAAGAATTCCTCCATTGACTGGAAGTCTTAAGGAAGCAAAAAAAGGTTTTCCCCGACACCTGATAACATCATCATTTCTAGGTGCCACATGAATAGGACCAATACTGTGGCCCTACTACTCATGCTACAATAACACCTAGAAGTCTCAGCTAAGGACTTGGAACTAACATACTAAGCACTATACACATCCAATAATGCAGCACACTTCTCCTTTGGGCAGACAAAGAGTTAGAGAAAAGCAGCACAATCTTAAGTCTTTTACTCAGGAAGATCTGCGGCACAAGGAACTTCAGACAAATACACATTCAGCAATAGAGCAAGGAGTGAAACACTCCACAACCCAAATTTCACATTGCCATTTTGATTACAGATTTCCCTTTATTTTACACTGTGGCAAAAAAAAAAAAAAAGAAAGAGAGCGAGCAGTGAAAATCCTAAAAGGTACCTGCACCTGCTGTCAAAAAGACTGATGCTAAAAGATGTCTCAAGCACCACTAAACCATTACAGCAGTTTCTGTCTGCCTCCCTTCCCTGTAAGAACAATAGGAGCACAGTGATGGTCGTTTCCTCTGAGCTAACTCCAACCATCACCAGTTCCTCTGGGTATTAAAGAGACATGGCTAACCACACTAGGTGTTGACTAAGTGGAGACATCTCCCA